GGTCCTGCAGGTCAGTAGAGAGGAGAATCATGGCAGAGAAGGCATATATTTTGGGAACCTGATTATAATAAATAAATAAAAATCAATAAAGTGACAAAATTGAGTAAAGAATCAGAGAAGTTAAGGTCATTGACCCATAGAATCACCAAGGTTGGAAAAGATCTCCAGGATCATCCATCCAACCATGCCCTATCATGAATGTTTCCCCACTGAGCCGTGTGCCTCAGCACCTGTCCCTTCATGTTCCTTCAGCGCCTCCAGGGATGGTGACTGCACCGCTCCCTGGGCAGCCCCCTCCTGTGTCTGACCACAGATGTGGTGGCACTGAAGGAACTGGTAAACGTGCACAGCAGTACTCTGCAAACTGTTCAGAAGGAAGAGAAGGGTTTGGGGAATGATCGAGTGGTGGGAAATGGCTTTTCTCTGGGACAGATCGCAATCCGTGCCTGCTTTGAGGCTGTGGGCTTCTCTTGCTAATTCACTGTGACACTGTTTAGACTTAGGAGACTGACACGCCTTTGACAGATCTCTGATCACAGCAGAAACTCTTCTGACTGCACACCACTCCGAGGTTTTCCTCCTTCTTATTTCCTACACAGAGTTTTACAGTCTTATGTCCCTACTGTATCAACGTACGCAAAACTGAACTTCAAAAGTGACCAGGCTGTTTTCATTAAAAAATAATCCACCCTTCAGGTATTTTTGCTAGCAGCAGTCCCCAGAATGCAGTCCCTAACACTGGGAACACGTTCCTCACTGATGTGCCAACCACAAGTTCATGTCTTTGTCTCAGTGAAAATGAAGCCGTGATTATTCATGCAGTTCCCAAAGAGTCACTCCACACCCTGGAATCACTTCTGACAGATGTAAAATGCCTTCTGCTGAATTCCTACTCCAAAGAGCCTTCTGCATGACCGGTTTATCAGTGAATGCAAGCAGACTCATGATTTGCAATGCTTCATCACTGTGGCATGTGTAATGCTAAGCATGATGACTAGGGAAACCAGACCCACCTATTTTTTTCTATAGGCTTACAGCCCCCCAAATCTCCCGGCAACTACACGGGAGGAGCAAGGTGTGTGCACAGGGAGACCCTACGTGAGCTGTATCAAATCCTGTGCATCTGAACATAACTATGCAGGCAGAAGAGAATTGATTGTCTGAGGGTGTATGAATTCACGGGTAGGAAAGATGGATAGATGAAAACATAATGTGGAGGCCAAAAAACAATAAAATACTGACCGGTTCTGGCCATTTTCACTCTCTTGCTTTCTCTTTGCTGCAAAGAATGTGCTTACCTCCAGCTGAACACTCAGCTCTGCTGTGGGTAGTGCATGCTTGCTGTCCTTGCATGTGAGCAGCAGAGACGAGTCACTTCCAGCTGAGCTTGAACCGAGCTCTGCTCCCTTCCTGCCCCTCTGACCTCCTTGCAGCTGGAACTGCTCTCTGCTGCGTTTACCCACAGCACCTGTGCACACCCCTCAGTAACGCTCAGAAGGCAGGCACAGGCTGTTCCCCAGAGCTCTGCAACTTCTTCCTGAAACGAGGGATCCACAGGCTGTGCCATAGGAGTTTTCACAGACATCTCTTCAAGAAGCAAAGATCTTTGAGGGGCTCCGGCCCAGGATAACCTGCTCGGGAACAGAACCTCCTCCAGCACAGTGTGGCAGCAGCAGAGGTGCCTGTGGGGTTCTGACCTGCAGCTGCTCCCCCGGACAAAACAGGAACATGGGAACGTGCCCTGGTAATGCGGTGGCTGTGAGCTGGCAGTCACACCAGGAGTGCTGGTGCAGCCAGATGAAAGCACCGTCTGGTACAGGGCACCAGGGTGTCACAGGAATGGCGCAGCCTCTGTTAAAGGGAGCTCTGCCAAACGGCGGGGTGCTCACCAAAGGAAAGACCACAGAGAAACCTCTGTTGCCAGACCTGCAGTCGGTGAAGGGACTGAGGAGCTTTCGCTGGTGGCTGCCATCATTGTGATGTTGCTCCCTGGTAGTTGGCCATAATGGGAGACTGAGGACATGGCCTCTGCACTGTGAGATTTCCAGTATGAGATTTCAAGATGTGAAGCACTTTTTTTTTTTTACCTATGGAAATCTCTGTCACTGCGAAACAAACCAACAGTGCCAAAAAAAAACGGGTTAAGCAGTATTTTCTAGCGATTACAAAATAAACTATTGATCTGGCTACTTTAGAACAGCACCACCACAACTCACTAGAGCTTACAGTTGTGCATTTTGCATTTCCACCCGGGGGACGTCGCCCTTCTTTTAATTCACAGAATTGTGATAACTTTTTGTGCAAAAATGGATCATTTTTGTCAGACTTGATTTGTTTTAGAGAATTAGATCGTCTCTCTTGGGGAAATCTATAATCGAAATACAGATCTCTGCGTCAGGACCTACGTGAAAGATTTGTGCAGATGACTTAGTGCATGTTTTTAAACCATTTTATTACCTGCAAGGCATGCATGCAGGAGTTTAGCAGAGCACGCATCATTTCTCTGCCCTGTCACTAAGTCTGCCAAATTCTGACAGCTGAGAAGAGCCCATAGATTAAGACTCTCATTTTTATCAGGCTCTGCCGTATTTCCCTAGTTAATTCGATGTTACGCATCTCAAGTAGCTGCAGTGGGAACCTGACCAAAAGCTTTTTGTTTGCCCCCAGATTCTTCTCCTCTCTTTCTAAGCAGGAGGGCTCATTCCCACCTTCCCAAACCCATCGGCCTTTGTGCTGTGCTGGTGGGAGCTGAGGGCGCAGAGCCCTGCACAGCTGCCCCGGGGCTGAGGTGGGAGCAGCCCTGCGAAGGCTGGGAGGAGCAGGCGGCTGCTAAAGCCCTGCCCTCGTCACGGGCACAGACGCAATGCCACAAGTTTTGCAGGAATACAGAGCCTTTTTCTTCCTCTTCTAAGAAGGATCTGTGCTTGAATAAGCAAACAAAAATTGGACCTGAGTTTGCATCCCTCTGGTCCCAGAGCTGTCCTTGCTGGAGTCAATAACTCTGCTCATGTGAACATATGATGTGGTGTAAGAACCCTCAGCTATTCATTCTTAAAGAAGAAAGGTTATTTTTGCAAGTCACCTATTTCTGAATTTTGCTATATATACAAATTTACTGTATATAATGAATCTATGAATTCTTTGAAATAAACTTGATGAAGGGGCAATGATTGGGTCTTACAAGAATAGTTCAAAGATGCTCGGATTTTGTTTATTTTACACGGTTTAATCTTCTCTGGCCATTTTTTCACTGACTGCTTTCCACAGTACCTTTCAAAGTAACCTTCGTTTGTCAGGATATTCCACGTTGCTGGAAGGCTCTGAAAATGTCAAACATGGGAACAGAGAACAGCTTTTTCTCACTGCTGCAGCCCGGTACGGATCTGCACCACCAGACCAGCAGACAAACAAAGTTTGGCTGCTGAATTCAAAGTCAGCTCAAATAGTTCACAGCACAAGCATGTTCTGTGGAGATACACAAGTATCCCTTGTGAATCCACAGCACACGAACAAATTGACTTCACAGTGTTTTCTCACTGGATTTTCAGTATGTGCTTCCTTATGATTTAAAGGCATTGGAAAATAAAATGATTTGGTTTAAGAGGATGATTCAGAGTGAGATAATAATCCACAGTTGTAATGGATGAGCCTCACCGTGCTGTGCACTTTCTGAATTACACTCAGTGGAGTTTCTCCTTAAACATCGAATTACCTCTGCTCTGCCCCCCGTACTTTCTCAGTCTCTGCAGACAGAACTGGGTCGGTGAAGTGGTTCTTATGGAAACACACAAGAGCTGTTGGAGCAGAAACAACTTTTTCTTCCCTGGAGCTGCACCCAAATATTTTTATAAATTTTGTTTTTCTGTAACAGGTTATTTTATTTACTGTGGCTTAAGTAATGCCAGTGAAAGATTTCTATTTAAACACGATGTGTTGACACTTTCTGTTTGCTTGTTTGCTGAGAGAGCTTTTTATCCAGCCTCACCAGAGGGAGGAAACTGATTTAAAGAAAATCCAGAGTAAGATACTGTTTTAACTGGAATAAGTTCAGACATGGAGCGGGGGCACGCTGTCAGCACACCGCTGCTTGCGCTGAGTCAGAGCCCGAGTGGAGCAGGGTGCTGCTCAGCTGCCAGGGGTGCACAGCTCTCCTGCACAGCAGCCCAGGCACTGAGGCACCGTGGCTCGCTCATGCAGGAGCGGTGCAGCACAAGTGACCTGCCCACGCAGCGCCTGGCTCCATGCCATCTGCAGCACCCTCTGTGCACCAGCAGAAGGGAGCTCTCTCTGTCACATTCTTGGTGGGACATTAGGTATTTGAATTAGTATAATTAATGATGTTAATTAATAGGATGACTAGAGAGACATAATCTTCTTACACAGGATAGGTGTTTACCTTCAAAGATTCTGCACCTGAATGCTCCTACCCTACGTTCTGCTGAAGGTATTCTTTGAGCATGCAAGAACCCCAGCACCCTGCTCCACTAGTGCAGACTACTGCACTTATACAAGCTGAGCCACTTCTGCCTTTCAAGCCTGGCTGACGCTTCCCGAGCACCCAGTTTTGTGGCAGAAAGGATATATGATTAAAGTTAATGCCAGCTTCTCACTGTTCTAGGTTGCAACAGCAATTACTGTCTATGTACATACAGCTCATTCAGCCACATACTGCTCATACATAGATGCACACGTTCTCATGGCCCTGAGCAGGGAGTGAGGGCCTTTGGCCACCCTTGGGCCAACCCTTGGGCCAAGGTCAGCTCACCCAAAGAGCTTTTACTCTTGGTGCAATGGTGGTATCTTCTGTGACCGCTCATTGCCAACGTCTGCACCGCGTGAGGCAGCGTAAGGGCGAAGCGCAATGCTCCATTTCCAAGTGGAACAAATAAGAACATCTGCCAACCCCTGCGTATGTATGAGGTCATTGAGGTTACATTCCTTCACGTTAGAAAACAGAACCAGTGTGATCTCACCCTCATGCCAGTTTCTCCACATTGCAGAGTTACCACAAGGCCTGACGACACGCTGCTGCTGGGACAGGCAGGACGGGACTGTGGGCTTGTCTGCTCTGCTGGAAAACAAGCAGCCAGGAATGGGCAAGCACAAGCAACCTGCAGGTAAGAATGCAGAACAGTCACTCTGGTTTTTCCACAGCATGAAACAGCTGAGTTCATAGCATGCACCACCCAAAAATCCTTAAATCCCTGCTCTTCACTACACTTTTACCACAGTCATTTGTGCTCCTTAGTAACACTGTGCCTTATTTATCAGAGCTTGGTGACCACATTTCTTTCGTGCCTGCTGTCCAGCTGGAAAAGAGGTGGAACTTCAGAATGTGCAGCCCTGAGGACCGCAGAGGGAGATGGGAGCAGCACAGTGGAAGGCAGCTGTAAATCCCCACAGAAGAATCGGGTGGGATTCTCATTTGTTATTCTATGTGGTAATGTATTAATTCCTTCACTAAACTCTTCTGATTATTTTTATTACCCTTCTGATGTCACTCTGAATATTGCTGTTATCCTTATAAATACACAAACCCCTTTCTGCAGAATTTTAGCCATCCAACCAACATGCTCTGTGACCTTGAAGTCAGTACACTCAATTCGTCAGTCGAATTGAAAATAATTGAGCTTTGGATGAGAAGTTCACTATGTAGCTGTAAGGCAAATACATTTGATATGGTTCAAGGTGTAAGTATGTGCACGTAAAATGAATATCATTCTAATGGGATTTGTATTTTCCTAGATGGAAGTGGACAATTTTGACAATACATCTCCATGCGAAAAAAAAGGTGTGTTTACAAAGGCAAGTGTCAGGTTAAAGACACAAATGCTGTATCATACAGAGGCTTTCATTAAAGAGAGGAATTACTTGAAGTTGATGTGGGCAAAGCGTACCTCTGTGTTTAATTCACAATAGGCATACACAGAAGCCCACGCTTCGTCTTGCAAACCTTGCAAAGGTTTGTCCAGGCAGAAAGAGCCCTGCAGATGCCCCAGGCCTGGCCAGGAGCACCCAGCTCTGCCGGCAGCAACCTGGCCTGCTGCTGCTGACGGAGCTCATCTGCGTGGTGAGCTGCAGGGCAGCCGCAGTGCGGTAGGTACTGGAGACACTGCTCTGAGGGAAGCACCTGCAAAGCCACCACTGCACCGTGTGGGTCTGCTGGGGCAGGAGTGGCAGCAGACAGGAGGGCATGCAACATGGCCCCCAGCCACAGTGTTTGAAGACCTGGAAACAGGAATGCATCCATTCTCCTCCAGTTTAATACAGAAACTCCTGATCCTCCTCAAGAATACCAGCTGTGAGTTGATGTTAGTGTCGATGAATAGCAAATACTCCCCTGACATCAATCTAGATCACGTTTCATTGCAGAAGGATTGTCTTCAAATAGGCTGCTGCTGCTATGTTTAGGACCTATTTTCCATGCTCAATGATAGTGTCCTGCATCTTTCCAGAGCTACATCACCCCAGTGTCCTGGCTAGCTTTGGGCCCAGCCCCATAAGTCGCACTCCCGTGAGTAAGCCTTATCCATGAATACAGTGAGTCTCATGTCATGACAAAAAGCTTTAATAAAATGCTGTTCTGTGAGCACAATGAAAAGCCAATCTAATCAGTACCCAGAATCAGTACACCAGGCCCTAACACCCCTAACGTGAGCACACATGTTGGGTAACCAACATGAAGAAGTCGATTCTGAAGACCTACCTAGATAATATATTTATTCTTTTCAATACATAAATCCTGAATAGGGCTCTGGAAATTGGAATTGTGAAAATAATTATGGTGATGATAATGATAAATTTAAAATGCTTTCCAGACCAGAAGCTGAGGAAATCTCTAGAGAGGTCTTTTGGTGGAGTTCATAAATCTTAACACCATTTTTAATTAAGTATCAGTTATTTCATAATCTACATTGCTTACTTAGCAACTGCTTTGGTACTGAGTATGCCATCCTGGCTACCTACGTTTTTGCCGTAGGCCAGGATCTCAGAACTCCATTTGGATCATCTGTCATCCCCAGTCTGCCTACATTGCTATTCTATAGCTGCAGATCTCAAGATGATGAACAATGCTGGATATTCATCAACCTTATTTAAAAAATGGAGTAACTATGATGTAATGAGATTAAGAAATTTGGTTGATGCCATTAAGCGCATTAGCATCCATACAAAGATTAGAAGACATTTCCCTATTCCTGGCACTGCTCGTAACCCCCCGGATATGAGGGCCCGAGCCACTTCTTACTGCCATTTGCTGTTTCAGCAAATTGGGGCACTGAAGGAGGCATTAATTCACTCTTCAGGGGTTTTAAGAAACTTTTATATGACTAAAAGAGGACTTCAGATGCTTCGAAGAAGAGAGAATGCTGGCACTATCATGGCACTCCAGGGACTGAAACTCAGTCTGCAAAAGCTCATACGAATTCAAAAGAAGGAGAATTGTATTTATGGAGAACTGATGCTCTGCATATAGAAGTGTGTGTTTTGGTAGACATTGTGAGCTTCAGGAAGCCATTGAAGGGAATAAAATACAAATATACAGCCATGATATTTTATGATATTTCCTTTCTTAGGCCTTTTTGGAGGTTATCACATCTTTGGTGGGTATTTGGCATAGGGTTAAGTAAACTCATGAGGAAAATGTAAAGGTAGGAAATTGAAGCAACTGATTATGCAGATTCTGTAATTTTCATAGTTATCCACTGGGGACTTCCCAGGTCCTTTGTGTTACAGAAGTCAGGTTTTGCAGTCAGAATGTACACAGTCTCTATGACTTCCATGTGATAGTGCAGTTGTTCCAGACGGATATCAATTCAGTCAAGAGCAAAAAATGATGTTAGCTGTATTCAGTGAATTTGGAAGTACCATTGACATCAAATTTCTTTGCCTCTGGTGGGTTTTTTTAAGCACCCATACAAAGCACTATTTTAAATTTTTAAGAAACTCAAATATAAGATATGAAGGCAAATGCTGCTACATTATTCTATTGTTGTTTTAGAACTTTTGAACATAAGCTTACAGTTCTAACACATCATTAACGTCCATGCCTTCCATGATGTTCTGGAACTTTCTCTTTGCAACACAGCATGAAAAAGGCTGAGGATAAGTGGTTGCAAGTTTACACATTATAAGAGATGTGATGTGAGCTCGTAATTCAGGTTCTGTGTCATCTGTGGGAAAAACCATAGAATGCTCATCACTACTCCTCGCACACACCCAGATGTGGTATCAGATTCTGATCTCTTTAATCATTAAAACTTTTCATTATTATTTGAATCAGCACGCTGTCTGGAGAGATTCTTGCAGAGCAGAATGTTACTTTGCCGTGTGTTCCCACCTCCTGCTCTGCACTGGTAAATGTCTGAAAGACTTGAGTTAGTATGTGATATTCCGTGTAAATCTGACTTCAAAAGCAGATGAAGGATTGTCTTGCAGTCATGCTCCTACCACCAGCACTCTATTATAAAGCTTTTTCTTTGACAGCCAAGTGGGCAAGTACTCGTAACTGCTGCCCAGTGGAGCTCCCCTGAGTTGGGCTGGGGGTCAGTGGAGACAGTGAGGGTGTGGTTTTTCATTCTTGTATTTCTGCAAGATGATTTTGAAAGGTATTGTCTAACAATTTACAGATCACAGACAGGGTTAGAGGGTTCCTACTTGCGTGAAACTCTATGATTCATGGAGAGATGCAATACGCCTTACACGTTCTACAGGATGAAGTCATTAGAACCCGTCACATCATTTTAGCATCTGATGGCATTAGCTTTCAAAACGTGTGCTTAGATTAGCTTGCAGAAAGTGTAAACTCATAGGCTTCTGTGGCAACTCTACTGTCTGATGAGAAAAGCGGGAGCTCGGCGCAGAAGTATTGGACTGCATCACAGGGAGCATGGCCAGCAGGTCAAGGAGGTGATCCTGCCCTCTGCTCTGTGCTGTGGGGCCTCACCTGGAGCACTTCATCCAGATGTGGAGACCTCAGGGCAAGAGAGACACAGAGCTGTTAGAGTGTGTCTGGAGGAGGGCCACAAAAATGATGTCAGGGATGGAACACCTCTCCTGCCCTGGGGACAGGCTGAGAGCTGGGGCTGTGCAGAATGGAGAGGGGAAGGCGCTGGGGACACCTGAGAGCAGCCTGTCAGTACCTAAAGGAGCTGTAAGACAAAGGGGACAGACTCATTAACAGGATGTGTTGTGACAGGACAAGGGGAAATGGTTTCAAACTGAAGAAGGAGAGATTTAGGCTGGATATAAGGAAGAGGTTTTTAACAAATGGGTGGTGGGGCACTGGCACAGGTTGCTCAGAGGGGAGTGGTTGTCCCATCCCTGCAGACAGCCAAGACAGCCTGGATGGGGCTCTGAGCACCTGATGGAGCAGTGGTGTCCCCTATCACTGCAGAGGAGTTGAACTGGATGATCTTTAGGTGTCTCTTCCAACTCAGATGATTCTATGATTACAGAAGCCTCGTGTTTTGGATACAGCTTCCATCCAGAGTCAGTCAGATAATCCATCAATCCACTACAGTACAAAAAAGGTACTCTGACTTTCATAAAAAGTTTAAGTTGGTGCAGAATGTAGGTTTTGTGTAGCATGTTTATGCAAAAAAAAAAAAAAAAAAAAAAAAAAAAAGGGCCAGAGAACCAATTGTGGCTAATCAGTGTCCCATATGACATGGCAGCAATACATCTGTCAAAAATTACTCAGAACCTAAATATGTAGAAGTTCCCACGCACCTTTATTTATCTAGCTGTAATCTTTGCTCTTGAATGTGTGCTTACCAAAGAAAAAGGGGAAGAAAAGGCATTGTGTGTGTTTAAGTGAAATGTGAGGGGCACACGTACTGATCCACCTTTGAACCTGCGTATCTCCTCTATTTCAGCTGAGTGTTGTCTCAGCTTGAGATCCAGAGCACAGATACCAGCACACCAAGCAACTGGGGCTTCCTGGGGAATTCATTTAAATAGGCTGTCTCCATTTATTGTAGAGTTGCAACTGCTTTAATGTCCACTCTGTAACATCTCTCTCACCTTAGGAAGACAAACTTTCTACTCCACACTTCCTTACTCCTGTGCTACAAGCACTGCATGAAGACGTGCCCTGTAGGATCTCAGTACTGCCAACTGATCTACGACTATAGATCAAGTCGTGCCATGGGATATTTAAAGCCTCTGACCGGCTGTTTGCAACCTGTGTACATCTTTTTTTCTTAGATAACACCCAGTGTTAATGAAAAAAACAATGCCCAGCCATTATTTGTGCTTTTAGTGAAGGATAATAGGTACCTTTTTGCCAGACGGAAAGATTAAAAAGGCATACAAAGTTATCAAAGAATTTATCGAACTACTCGAGTGGTAAAAATGGGCATCTTTACTCAAAATGGATTTGAAATGTATGAGGGAATGTGCTGCTGAACTCCAGAAAGCCATCCACATTGCGCTTTTAATTAGGTTAAATGAAACCTGATCCAGATTCCACTTGGTCATTAGACTGGAATGCTGAAAATGCTGTAATCTACTTATACATCATATTGAAGAAGTTTTCTGTTTCTTTAAATTTCACTGTATTACAATGTGTTAAGTAAATAACCATGATTCACAAACTGACAGAGAAAGAGAAGACATACCAACCCAATTTATTTATCACAAGGCCAGGATTTAGTTACTGTCTTTTAAACTAAATACCAAAACCAGATCTGCTCTATATACAACCATCAACATCGGTCTTGAAAACTTGAGAAGAAAGTTTCTGCCATTATCAGGTCAGATAATAAAGACCGAAAGAGAAAATG